AGGTTACGTCTTTGTTATAATTATTTCCAAAACCATGAAAAATATTCTTATATAAATTGTGTTAGTGATTCATTGATTTAGAACAATAAATATCAAACACGACTTTACAGTTGATAAAGTTATAGCAAAATTAAAATTATTAAAGTCTTAGCTTGGAATGATATTAGCAACGACTTAGCCATCTTTAAAATAAGCCCACAAGTTAGATGGTAACTGCGTGTTTTGAGGAGGTTTTAAGATTTTTGTTATTGAAGAAGGATTTGGACTGACATTCTTGAATCTAGATACGAGGATTTGAGGGCCAGAATAATGCTCAAGAGGAACATTATGGCATAAATGAATGTCTCCTTATGGTGGGCTAATGTGATGAAGATTGGGGACTCCACGCAGCAAGGGGTCTTTGATTCTTAAATTTCTTGCAAGGTGGGAGTTGGAAATGCAATGTCATTTTGGCACAATAGCTAGCTCCAACCTATTCCTTTGATACTCTTTTCGAAACCTGTTTGAAGCTGCTGTAGATAAGCCGTCTGTGATTAGCGAGTTGGGGGATTGGGTTGATGGCGTATGGCTATGGAACTTGGGTTTTTCTTTGCAGGATCTTCAGGGAGTTCATGGAGATGAGATGTGAAAATTGCAGGAGGTTCTGTATCATGTTAGGCCTGTCCTAGAAGTTGTGGACATGTATGTTTGGATAGGTGGTGGCATTGATAATTTTACTATAATTTCATGTTATAAGACTATGTTGAATCTTGTTGGGTCTACTGGTTTGGAGATTATACCCAAGACCGCATGGGAATTTTTATGGAAAACTAAGGTCCCTATCAAAGTTAAAACCTTTGGGTGGAGATTGTTGTGAGATAGACTTTCAACTAGATCTAATATGGAAGGCAGGGTATAATCTCTTCTTCTAATGACTTAGTGTGTGTTTTTTGTTTCCATTTCTCTGAGGATAGATACCACCTCTTTTACTCGTGTCCTTGTATTCGTCTTATTTGGCAGAAGTTAGCACTTTGTGTGAGAATAGATTGGGATGATGTCGATAATGTTTGTGACCATTTGTTTAAATGGTTCATGAAAACAGTAAGGAGTTCGTCCAAGGCCACTACTTGTTACATATGGATTACGGCTTGTTGGACTATATGGTGGGTTCGTAACCAAGTGACTTTTAATGATATGATTGCAAGTCAAGAGGACATCACACATAGGGTGATCATTAATTCGTGGTGGTGGTTAGATTTTCGTAACTAATCTAAAACTAAATGTAGTTTTTATGATTGGTTCAAGTCCCCCTTTAGATTTTCTGCTCTAAGTGTATTCGTTTTAGAGACTTTTGATTGTTGTTGGTGTTAGTTGTTGTGATTTGTCCATTGTAAGGGTTGATGTAGTCCTAGTATACCGTTTATTATTGAATTTTCTTTGCCTATAAAAAAATTGTTATTAATTTTATGTTTATTTAAATATTGTGATTGTTAATATTTTGTTGTATTCATAAAATATAGATATATTAAATTTAAATATTTTTAATTTTTTTGTACTTGTTTTATATTGTACAATAGTATTGAGGTAGTTTTAAATTTTTATTTAAATAAAAAAACGAATTATAAAATTATTTTGATATTATTCAATATTTTGTTTTGTTGAACTGAAATATGTTAATTATTTTGAATTTTGTGGCTATTTTATTTGTTTAAAGTAAGTTTGTTATTTGTAGGTATTAAAAAAATATTTTGTGTTATTGCAGAGGTATATATCGTGTTTTTAAATTATACATTAGAATTTTATAGTTTTAAAATTTATAAAAGAATTCAAATTAATTATAAAAGTTGATCAAATAATAAGATGATTTTTATTAAAAGGTTTAATCATATGAATTGTTTTCAAATATTTAAAAACCAAAATATTTCTATTTTATTAATTTGTAAATAAAGTTTAAATTAGTTACGAAAATTGATCAACTATCAAAAGTATTGTAGTTATAAAATTTTGTAAGAATTTTATATATTTAATATCATGTTTTTTAGCCATTATTTATTTATTTTTATTTTTGAATGATCGGTTTATTTTTGTGCTATGTGTTTTTTAATTTACAAAAATAGTGTAGTTTTATGTTTTTAGGTATTAGACTCTTAAAAAAGAAGAAATAGTATAGTGTAGTTGTCATTTTTTTAGGTGTAAGGTAAAAAGATTGAATTATATAAAGATTGATAATTGTATTTAGTTGTGATTTACTCTTTTGAGACATATAATAATAAGATTTTTATAAGTTATGATTTTTGGAATAAAAGTTGAAGTGTAATTGTATTTTATTAGTTTGTAAATAAAATTTAAATTAATTATGAAAATTGATCAACTAATAAAATTATTATAATTATTAAATTTTGTAAGAATTTTAAATATTTAATATAATTTGTTTTAGTCATCAGTTTCTATTTTTATTTTTGAATGATGGTTTCTTTTTGTGATGTTTTGTAATTTAACAAAATAGTGTAGTTATTATATTTTTTGATAGTAGACTATAGAAAAAGAATAGTGTAGTTATTAACAAAATTGTGTAGTTATTAATATTTTTTTAGATGTAAGGTAAAAAGATTGAATTATATATATAGAGTGATATCCAAATCTTTCTTTAACAGTTGAAGGGTTATTCCGGCATTCCTCGACTAAATGTTCCCTCTAGTTTTACTCAAACATATTTCTCAATTGAATAATTTATTTCTAATTGTAAACCAAATATATGTCAAATCAATCTCTCTGGTTTTCCATCACAATTTCTTTTCATTCATCCCAATTCTATCACATCATCTCTTTCTCTCCCCAATTCCAATTTTTTCACCCACTTGAGTTAAACATTTCCTCCCTTTCTTCTATTAGTTTCACAAAATATCTCTCTCTCTCTCTCTCTCTCATATTTCAACTTTATTATATTACCATCTAAAAGCAGAAAATAACCAGCCTATCGAGAGAAAGTTAGATCATTTTGTTTATGTTATTAACTAATATTTGACCGTTTAAATGAGTTTGTTTCTATTTTTTTATGATTTTCCATTTACATGAATTTGGTTTCATCATTTCTTTCACCAAATAATTTTTTGTTTAACGATTTCCCTGTGCTAACGAATATTGATTTAAATATTTTCTTTTCTTTTCACATTGATTTTGCTTAATATTTTTCCAATTTAATGACTTTGATAGATTCACTACAAGTTTTCACATTGATTTTGCTTTACATTTTTCTATTTTAATGATTTTATTATTTGCGACAGTTATTTTGGCAAATGATTCAAATTTTTGCAAAATCTGTTTCACAAGGATGTTTAAAGACAATTTAGAAAATTGTCGTACATATTCACGATAGTTTTAAACGACCACCAAATGATTACTGCGACAATTTTAAACATGTCCACTATCTTTGTTTTGAAGGTAAACTATGGCGGTTTGAAATTGCCGCAAATTGTAAATATTAAAAAAATATAAAATTCCATGCCGAATTTTTAACATTATTATAAAAGTAAAAATAAAACTAAGTTCTAGTTTTATTCCAACTCTATTAATGTTATAAAAAATGTTATTGCAACTTCTAAAATTAATACAGCATAAACATGATTGGGTAGCCTAAACTAATCCTTAGATAATGATAACCATAAATCTGAAGGTATCGATTATTCATAAATATGTCATGTGTCGCACCTCGAAAAATACGAATTTTGCGATGGGACGCGAAAAAAATTGTTCGAACAGAGTCACCACTGAACATTATTCATTCCAATGAAGTAATAGAAAAATATTGAGAAAATCTTTAAGAGATAAGAACATGGTCATCGCAAATAAATTCTAGGTTCAGAAGTCGATTACCCAAAGGGAAGGATTAACACCCCTCATGTTCGTTGTACTCAACGGGAATCTGTTAGTTCGATTTGTAATGAATGTTAGCTAAAACGATTTGTTTTCTTCTAAGCTAATAATGCGAAAATGTTTCACTTCTAAGGGGAAAAATAGATTGTTTTATTAGGGTGCTCGCCAAGAATTACACTAGTGTAAAAATACCTTTTTAACAGAGGTTTTTAAGTCAGTTCATCAATAATCCGACTTAAGAAGTTACACGGTGGCAAATCCGTAAATATTTGAAACTTTGTTATGTCGTGTCTATGTTTAACCGACCTAACAAAGATTAAATAAAAAAAAATATAATTTACATTAAATTTCTTAAGTCGGTTCTTTTATCGAAATGATTTAAGAAGTTTATTTATTAAGTCACGTGTTTATTACCTGACTTAAGAGGTTCTTACAAGACCCCGGTTCAATTCTTACTTAATACATTTTAGTGAAATAAAACAATTATAATATAATTTATGTTGAAAAATATTTATAAAATTAAAATGCTATTTTTAATCTTAATATCTTCATTCACATTTTTCCTTTTCCCATTCCTCTTTCATGTCATCTCTTTTTTCAAATTTAAACCTCAATATCATTAATCTCATCTTCGTGATTTCAATAAAAGTTTCATCACCATTTTCATTTTCATTGCGTCTTCTCTCCTTCCTCAATCCCTTTTCTCAATTAAAGCCAAACCCTAAAAGTTGTTTGAACCACAGTGTATCTTCTTTCCTGTTCAATCTGGGGGCTTCGATTCATGCTTTCATATTACGGGTTTTGATTCTAATGTATTTGTTTGTAATGTGGTTGTTTCGATGAATGGTAAATGTAATGCACTTATTTCTCGCTTGTTGTTATTCTTGCTGGTGTTGTTGGTTACGTTGCTACCGATTCGGGTTTTACTCTTACCGCTTATTCATGGGCTTTTGCTTATTTGGTTACGATTACTACTGAGATGGTTTATATCAAGCATATGGTTATGAGTCTTGGGTTGAATACTTGGGGTTTTGTTCTTTATAACAATCTGTTGTCGTTGATGATTGCTCCTTTCTTTTGGTTTCTTACTGGAGAGAATTTTGAGGTTTCGAATGCGATTAATTCGAGTACCGGGTTTTTTTTTTGAGATGAATGTGTTTCTTGCGGTTTCTTTGTCATGTGTGTTTGGTTTGCTTATCAGTTTCTTTGGATTTGCTGCGAGAAAAGCGGTTTCGGCTACTGCTTTTACGGTTACTGGGGTTGTAAATAAGTTTCTCACGGTGGCTATTAATGTGACGATTTGGGATAAGCATGCTAGTCCTCCTGGTTTGGTTTGTTTGCTTTTTACTATAATTGGGGGTGTTCTTTATCAGCAATCAGTTACTGGGAATGTTTTGCCGCAACGTGATACTGTGGTGGTGACTAAGCAGAGTGATATTGAAAGTAATCATGTTGGTGATGGTGATTTGGAAGATGAGAGTGAAGTAAAGGGTAAACTTGCTTCTTTATGAGTATTTTGTATTTTTGTTTGTTTTTAGTTTAGTACTTGACTTGGTGTTTAAGCTGTAATGAACTATGAATGTTGTCATTTATTAACAACATTCGGAAAATTTTATATAGATTGAGGTATTATTTTCATGATGATTTGAAATCTTGTGTCTTGAATCATGAAATGACAGGTATAAGATAAGAAACTATCGGCGTGTGCTGTGTTTTGCATATAGAACAGAATTTATTCTTGTTTGAGGGTAAGTATAAAACTTGTTTGAAATATCATTCAGAAATGTCAACATATTGGTTTTGGACAGTAACCACAACATAGCATTTCTGAAAGAAAGAAGAGATAGCAAAACTAAATTCATATTTTGAAAAATCTTGTAGTCACTATTAGCTTGCTGGTTGTTGCTCCTTTTGCTAAAATGTTTTTCCTTATCCTCATTACAGTTTGATGCACAACGTGCTTTGTGTACAGCAATCCAGAATGCGAGGCTCAATCAATATGACTACTATTAGCAATTTCCTTTCTCTTTAACACAGTATAAGTTTTGGCATTCAATTGAGTACTTTGTTAGAAGAATGGCTCTGTCTTCATGTGCAACTTCAAGTTGATTGGAGCTAGATATTTCGACAAAGGTCTTATTGCTTCAAATTCAAATGTTACAATCCTCATGAACTCGGCTAGAGACATTGCGGGACATGGAACTCACACGTCATCAACAGTTGCAGGTAACTATGTTAATGGAGCTTCTTATTTTGGTTATGCTAAAGGAGTAGCAAGAGGCATTGCACCAAAAGCTAGGCTTGCTATATATAAAACCAATTGACAAGAAGGTCGTTTGGCTTCCGATGTTTTAGCTGGAATGGATCAAGCAATTGTTGATGTGATCTCGATTTCCATGGGATTCGATGATGTTCTGCTCTATGAAGATCCTATTGCAATAACTTCATTTGCAGCTATGGAGAAAGGGATTGTTGTTTCATCTTCTGCAGGTAATTTAGGACCTAATCTTGGAACATTGCACAATGGCATCCCTTGGCTAATTACAGTGGCGGCAGGAACAATAGACAGAACTTTTGGAACTCTTGTTTTGGGAAATGGACAAAACATCATTGGTTGGACTTTGTTTCCAACAAATGCTACAAGGGATTTGGAGGATTTGCTGCAGATGTTGTTGCAGCTATTGATCAGGTACATATATAGACAGACAAGTACTCAGTGTTGTTTATGCCATTTACGTCAGGCTTAATATTATGACTAATTTGATTGTTTACAGGCAGCTCAAGATAGAGTTGATATAATATGTTTGTCAATCACTCCAAATAGGCGTCCTCCCGGTATTGCAACTTTCTTTAACCCAATAGACACGACATTGTTGTCAGCTATAAAGGCTGGTATTTTTGTTGTGCAAGCTGCTAGAAATACCGGACCTTCAGCTATGAGCATGTCCTCCTTTAGCCCATGGATCTTTACTATTGGTGCCACCTCTCATGATCGATTTTACAGCAACTCGCTATCTCTTGGAAATAATGTGACTATACTCGGAGTTGGACTTGCACGTAAAATTCTGTTGCTCTAATCTTGATGACACAGCAATGGGATTTAGAGTTCTAAGGTTGCATGGCCACCATGTTTCACCCAGTAAGTTCGATATCTCCATCAATTTCTCATATTGGTTTGAAGAAATATATATAATGATCTCTACAGATGAATTAAAATTTTCAATTTTGATTCCTAATTTGGCAGATGTTTTCAAGTATTTTGAGAAAAATGGTGAATTTTTCTGCTTTGCGGGACAGCTGAACCAAGCCGTGACAGGCATGTTTAATCTTTATAGAGCATCTCAAGTTCTGTTTAAAGGAGAGGAAATTCTTGAGAATGTCAAGAACCTTGGAAGAAGCCTTGCAGCAGCTACCCTAACTTCGATCTCTTTTCTTCTACGACACTACTTTTTCCTTTTGGATCCTAAGTATGTCGTTAACCCTCTAACTGATAGTACTCTTATTACCACCAGCATAATCTTCACTTTGATTTTGATTTGTCTGATTTAAAGTTTAACCTGTTAATTACATGTTTAGTGAACATTTGCTTTCACATGCCTTAACTTTTGGGTTATTTAATTGGTGTTTGCAGCTGTTCTTGGTGATGGATTCATGGCAAAGGATTTGACATTTCAAAACACAGCAGGTCCTGATGCACATCAAGCAGTGGCGTTAAGATTAGACAGTGATCTTTCTGTGATTGAGAATTGCGAGTTCATAGGAAATCAAGACACTTTTTATGCTCATTCCCTGCGCCAATTCTACAAATCATGCCCCGCATTATAGGGAATGTGGATTTCATCTTTGGAAATTCAGCTGCAATTTTTCAAGACTGTCAAATTCTGGTTCGTCCTAGACAAGTCAAGCCAGAGAAAGGCGAGAACAATGCAATCACAGCTCATGGTAGAACCGCCCCTTCACAAACTACAGGGTTTGTTTTTCAGAACTGTTTGAATAATGGAACTGAGGATTACATGGCATTGTATCATAGTAATCCTAAAGTGCATAAGAACTATTTGGGTAGGCCATGGAAGGAGTATTCCAGAACAGTTTTTATCAACTCTGTTTTGGAAGAACTTGTTACTCCTGGGGGTTGGATGCCATGGAATGGTGAGTTTGCACTTAAGACTCTTTATTACAGAGAATTTGAGGATAAGGGAAGTGGTTCTGATTTGTCTCAAAGGGTGTCTTGGAGTAGTAAAGTCCCTGCTGAACATGTGTCGAGTTATTCGGTTAAAAATTTCGTGGATGGTTTCGGTTTATGCTGGTGGAAGGTACATTCTAAGTCTGAATGATACCTTGATCCCTTATTGTCGTGAAGGTTGCGAAGGCATCGTTCGAGTTGGGTCAGCAGACACTCGGAGTTGTTTTGTGATTGTTCAAAGTAAAGCTTACGAAGTTGTGACGAGTGAAGTCGTGGGCGTGGTACGGGTCAATAATGTAAGATGATTGTTCTGTTGTATGTTGTTTGCTGCTGTATTCGGTATCCTCACCAACATATTCACATATTCCTCTATATTTGTGCAGGAACTCTGGTCTTTGTGGATTCAATGAGCTCTCTTGCGTGATTTGCCTGTGGATGCATGTGGCTCCATTAAGTTATTACCGCCAACCGCCAACAATTGTTATGTTCTGAAATTTGGCGGTAAGCAAATGATTCCTGTCATGAATAAGTGAGAAAACAATTGCCATTGATTTTTATTCTTACAATTGGTTTGACATTCTGATATCATCTGTCCTCAGCTTTTACTGAATCTTCAATTGTTTGTTCAAATGTAGGTGATTACCGAATCTTCATTGTTTGTTCAAATGTAGGTGATTATCGCGAGATATACCAAGCACCATAGCAACATGTATTTCGCTCGGCGGAGTCCTTGGGACTGCTTCAATGCGAAAAGTCTATTCAAACAAATGGTTGCTTGTGTTTCTATGGATTTCGTAGGATTTACGTAATGGCTTGTTCCTCATGTAACAACTTAGCTTTAGAAATTTTCATAATTGAGTCGTGTTTCCAAGCTGTAAATTTCGGATACAACTTGCAATTTGTAAAAATTGTTAATTTGGTTAATAAACCAAATTTAGCAATAATGGCTTTACATTGTTATGAACTTCCAACCTTCCAATATTAATATATATATATATATATATATATATATATATATATATATATATATATATATATATATATATATATATATATATATATATATATATATATATATATATATATATATATATATATATATATATATATATATATATATATATATATATATATATATATATATATATATATATATATATTAAAAAAGTATTATCCAAAAAAAAAAAAAACTTCTTAGGTCGGTTAATTATACCCGACTTAAGAAGTAAGTTCTTAGGTCGGGTATAAATGGTTTCTGCAGGCTAGACTTATTAAGTCGGGTTCTGCCTAACCGACCTAAGAAGTTGTTTCTTAAGTCAGGTCCACAACCGACTTAAGAAGTCAAAACTTCTTATGACGGTAATTCTTAGGTCGGGCTCGGACCCGACTTAAAAAGTCATTTTTAACCGACTTAAAAAGTCTTTTTTCCACTAGTGTTAGGGCCATTGTGCCTACGTATTCTCATTGCGAAATAAGAAATCAGAGCGTCCATAGGAAATGTAGCTCGCCAAGAATTGAGACCTTGTGCCTACATATCTTCATTTGGACGAAAATGAAGAATCAGAGCGTTCGTAGTTTGTAGAACTACGATTTGTTGGCATGTATTTTTTAATAAACAAGTGCTTAGATAGCATTCTAACGGTTAAATGTTGCTTGTACTTGCAATGGTAGGCTTAAAGCATTTTTTTGTGCTCGTGTTATAACAGACTAAACAAAGTTCTTTGCAAAAGATATTTGAGTTGTGGATAGATTAAAGTGTGTTAAGGGTGAACACGTGTCTAGATCACATTCTAATAGTAAAATATGACTTGCTTGCTCACAGGGGAGTCTTAAGTGCGAGTTTGTACGCATTAGAAAGGATTAGACAAATGTCTTTTTGAAAAAATATTTGAATTTAATTAGGGTATGTTAAGGGTTTCGATCGAAGGGGGCGATAAAATGAGGTTCGATTTGTTGAGTATTTTAAAAGAGAATGACGATTATTTGATAAGAACGAGACGTGGGCCTCAGAACCAATTAATCGGGGTATTACCGAAATACTTGATCTCAACGACGCCTTTTTCATTTGATTAATTATGAAAAAATGGACAATGAATTTTCCAAGGATTGTCCAAAAGTACCCACACAGAATGCTAAACTCCAATGGTCTCTCATTTGTCCAAGTAATTAGGGCAAATATTTTAGAAACAAAAGATTAAACAAAAACAACCTAAGGTGTTTTCCTTAAGAGAAATCATTCAAGGATTCAGAAATGCGAGACTTCAAGAACCCATTTCTTTCGTTATTTGATTAAGAAAATGTTTGAGAAATGATTTAATCGAATTTAGGGAGAAGTACTTGGTGTTGAATCAAGGTTTGAATTTGCTTGAGTTTTGAATCTTTTGAACTCGGTCCAATTTTATTTAGCAAAGTCGAAATGGTCAAAACTTATTAAATCACTTAATTAAATTAGTCCAAATCAATTATCAAAATTATTCAATTAAAAATTAATGCAATTAAATAATTGA